GTGTCACTCATGGATGTGGTAGGGTTGTAATCCAGCGTGGTCGAGTCTGACCAACAGGTGCACTGTCTCTGGGGCCTCCCGGGAGGTGCAAAGTCAGCCTCTGCCAGTGCCTTGCCCAGGGCCACCCAGCATGAGCTACACAGCAAATCGTAGTTGGCTGCTGCTTGTGCTGGGCTTGGAGGTGCCCAGGAGAGGCCAAGCTATGAGCCAATGCAGCTGCCACTAGTGCCAGGCCCGGGGCTACTTATCAAGCTGTATGGGGCCCGCTGCTGCTTGTTTGAGAGATTTTAGGAAAGTCCTAAGCATGAGGTGCGAGAGTCCACTTGCACAGAAAAGCCCCTGGAAATGGCCCGGATGAGCTGCAGGTGGGGAGGGGCGGGGCCAAAGGTGTGAGTCAGGCGCTGGCGATTCAAACATGGCGCCTGCCTGCCAGCTGTGTGGGGAGGACTCGCCAAAGGAGCCATGGCCTCTGCCAGCTCTTCTGTCTGGGAGGAAGCTGCCCTCCACCTGTTGCCCTAATTTCAGGCAGGTTAGTTCCTCCCCGAGGGTCCCAGGTCCTTTCAAGCTGTTCCCCAGCACTGGGGCTTAGAGGGAGCGTGTCTGAGTGAGTCTGTGGGCTGGCCCTTTAGAGGAGCTCCTGGGGCTTGTGCAGCCTCCGCGACCCTCAGCCGCAGTCCCCGCTGGTTTCACAGCCTGGAGTTCTGGGGACTTCTCTTCCTAGCCCTGGAGCCCTGGGCTGGGGGCCTGCTGTGGGGCTGGGACCCCTCACTCCTCCGGGAAACCTCCCCCGCCGCCGAGATGCCCCTCCCGGGCTTAAACAGGGGCATCGGGTGTGGGCCCATGGCCCCATCTTCACGATCCGCCCGAGTCTCTGCCCCTCCTCCCTNTTAAACAGGGGCATCGGGTGTGGGCCCATGGCCCCATCTTCACGATCCGCCCGAGTCTCCGCCCCTCCTCCCTGTCTCGGTGCTTCTTCAGGTCCCTGGTTGTGGGGCTTCTGTGCAGCCAGCTTTCAAGAGGCTCTGAGTGATGATGGTTTTGTACTTTAGTTGTAATTTTGATGTAGTTGCGGGAGGCGGTGCGTGTAGCTCTTACCTATGCCGCCCTCTTGTTTCCTTCCTGACTTGCCTTTTAAATACTAGGTAATCTTTTCCACTGTTATGTACTGTCTTTTGTCTCTGTATTTGTGGAATGGCTTTCTTTAATTAAGCTTACAATGTCTTTGAAATGGAGAAATTTCCATTTGAGAAGTCTATAATTAGATTTTTATAGCAGTCATTCTTTTTAAAAAAAATAGGAAAATAGAATCTTTATAGACTATGAAATATTTGATGTGAGCTAATATCCTGCCTTTTATGTTGTTGAATTTTTATTTGAATTATTTCTGAAGCAAAATTTTTTCTTATCAGTATGGATACATTAAATTCCAAACATGGTGGCTCAGCAGCTGAGCATCAACCTAGGATCCAAGAGATTGGGGTTTGATTCCTGGTCAGAGCACATGCCCAGGTTGCGGGCTGCAGCCGATCAATGACTCTCTCATCATTGATGTTTCTCTCTCTCTCTCTCTCTCCCTCTCCCTTCCTCTCTCTGAAATCAATAAAGATATATTTTTCTAAAATAAGTAAATAAATAAATAAAAATTCCAAACATGATAATTAAAGCTGTTAGTGTCACTGACATTTGTTCTTCTGGCAAAACTTCACTCATACCCAGAATGTTATATGTCATGATTTCAATTTATAGGACGTACAGGTGAGAATTTAAAATGCATTGGTGACATTTAGCTTTAGATGGTCAGAATAACACAGCAGCGCAATGTTATTACTATAGTAGTTATTTATATGATATAGCTATACCACTAAATAGAAACCACAAGAACCAAACCCCTTAAAGAAGAAAATCTGGAGGCCTGACAAACGATTGGAAGATGAGAAACAATACAGTGAAACTGCTTTCCCTGCACGGAGTGTTACATCCTCATTTTATGTTTTAGTAACCCTTCTGGACACATTTCAATTCAACAAATGTCTGTTGAGCATCTGAACATGCCAGGCCTTCAGGTAGGCACTAGGCATGCAACAGAAACAGCATTACTTCAGGGAGTGAGTTCATAGTCAAGATCAAGAGATTGAAGCATATACACCAACTAAAACAAAACGTAGTTATTTCTGTCAGTAGTTTGAACAAGTACTATGGGTATTGGTAGGGCACCTATCAGTTGTGCCAGTCAAATCAGAAATAGCTTCACAGAGTTAACTGGCATTTCAGTGGGATCTCTGATGGTAAAGGGAGAAAACAGCAAATTGAAAAGTCTATGGGAAGTATGAAACTTACAGACAGCACTCTTGGGCACCTAACACAGGACTAGGAAGTAACTCTCTGAAGAGTACCTTGGTGCAATATACTCGGACACAGAGGCTGACATTGATATAACAGTAATAATGCTGTTAGATGTTTTTGTTACCTTCACGATCTAACAAAATTCTTGTAAATTTACAATGTGGTATATATTAGTTTTTGCTGAAAGTGGTTAGATTACTTGTTGATGAGCCAATCACATTAGATTTGTATTTTGGAAATGATACAAATTTCGTGAATTATCCACCCATGTCAAAAACCTTAAAGAATATATAACACCAGGAGGCTAACTGCCCAAAAGGTTTATATTTTTTGTAGCTGTGGGTGTTTTTAAACTAATTTTT